GGCAGAGCACAGATAGCCCATTGTGTAGCTTTGTGCTTAACTTCAAACAAGCAAACAATGTGTCTGTCTTGAATCCGTGCGATACCAGAAAATATCCCCACCTCGCACACTTTAAACTATGAGTGTGTTACAAGAGTGATAATAACTCCCTTAGCATGGGTGATAGGGTACTGCTTACTGGTTGTTTTTTCACTGGTCAGTAGTTCAAAGTTAGGGGCGGCGACGTTTATAGCTTTACCACGAACACAAATAATTCTTCTTCTTGTTCGTTCCTGAAGAAATAAGGTCAAAGATCTTAAAAAAAAACTTTTGGTTATAATATTTCATTAATTTAAGTACTTCTTCAAACTAATACAAATATTATATTTATTTAAATATTATTACCAAATATACTAATCATATTTTTAAATTAAGGCTTAGATGGTAGTATAAAAAATATACAGTCCTTGTTTTATATTGGTTTATTTTAGAAATATGACACTTACTTCACGGCTAAAAGGGCGGGCATGTTTGTTGGAACGGGGATTCCAACTCGCGACCCTCAGATTGCTAGTCGAGCGCCCTAACCACCTGGGACAGTGAAATAAGTCAAATAGCATTCCGTTATTCCAAGCCTGTCGCATTGAAACGGTGTAGTAACAAGGTATTGTACAGACGAGGATTTGTTTGTTTTAAAGCAAAGCCACATTGTGCTATCTGCTGTGCCCACCGCAGTGAATCGAGCTCCAGATTTTAGCGTTGTAAGCCCATAAAGTTACCGCTGTCCCTCCAGGGCCCATAAATGATGAAAGAACTGTACAAGAAAATGGACAAGATGAAACTCTCGTTACTTTTTTTTGAGTGTGTATGTTTGTTGTTGAAGTTAAGCACAAAGCTACACAATGGGCTATCTGTGCTCTGCCCACCACGGGTATCGAAACTCGGTTTCCAGCGTTGTAAGTCCGCAGAGATACCGCTGCGCCACTGGGGGGGGGCGGTGTGAGTGTGGGTTTTATAGCAAAGCCACATCGGGCTATCTGCTGTGTCCACCGCGGAGAATCTAATCCCTGATTTTAGCGTTTTAAATTCGTAGACTTAC